TTGAAAAGGTGCTTGGGTGTTTTCGCTGGCTTTGTGCAGGGAGGCAACACCAGCAAAGTTGCACCAGGAGGGACGTGTTAAAACTCTGGCTTCAAACCCTGACCTACCGGAACTGGTCTTAAAACTACCCTTCCCTTGGGTAAATGGGGTTTGAAAGTGTGCAGGATGGACCCGCGGTCTCACGGGCTGATCTCCGGGCAGGTGGCACGTTCCCTCTTGTTCTCTCGCATTCCCCTGTAGACGGAGGCAGTTCCGGGATCGATGGGCTTGTCCTTCAGTCTTGACCCCTCTCAGAAACAAGCTTTTCCTTCCGCGAGCAGGGACCTGTGCGTGTCTCACACCGATAAATAGCGTTGCTTCTATCTCAGCGTTGCCACTAGGCATGTGCTTTTGCTTTTGTCGCACAGGCAGAGAAATACCCATTCCGGACGCCTTGTGTTGATAATCGGTGATCTAGAACAGCTCGCAGCTTTGTTACAAAACCCCTGCCCCTTATTTAGGTGAAGTCAGGAATGTGTGTTGGAGAAATACCTGCGGCAGGGTTACCTTAGCTGAACCTCTGAGGTCCTCCCCGCATCCCCTCTGCTGCTCAGTCTGGAAGGCCTGCCCTCCGGCCTCTTGTCTCAGCACCCCCGCAATATGTTTTGATGTGTACACCGGGCTCGTGGCTTGAGGGAGCTGCCCTCCTTGTCGTGGCTTTCCAGCTGTGTCGGGTTGTAATAGCGTTGTCCTTTATAACACACCTTGGGTACCCAAAACCCTGGTCATTCTGATGCTCTTATGCGAGGGCTAACAGTGAGGATGTGAACATAAGAGTATCAGAATGACCAGGCTGGGTCACACCAAAGGTCCGTCCAGCCCAGTATCCTGTCTGCCCACAGTGGCCAACGCCAGGTGCCCCCAAGGGAGTGAACAGAGCAGGGAATCACCAAGTGATCCCTCCCCGGCGCCCATTTCCAGCCTCTGACACCATTCCTGCCCATCCTGCTAATAGCCATGGATAGACCCATCCTTCGTTAATGGATCTTGTTCTTTGTTGAGCCCTGTTACAGTTCTGGCCTTCGCGATATCCTCTGGCAAGGAGTTCCACAGGTTGACTGGGGGGGATCACAGTCCTTCTCCCCTCCCCACAAGGCAGACTTTTGCTGTCTGGCCCCTGCTACCTCTCACCGTGTCTGGCCAGCACTGCTCCTATTACTTCCATTAAACCAAGGTTTTCAAAACTGATTTGCAGTTTTAGGGTACCCAAATGGACAGGCCTGGCTTTCAGGAAATGCTGAACACCTGCTGCAAAACAGAGGCACCCAAAATTACTAATCTCCTGGGCCTAGTCTGGACTCCACTAGCACAAAACACGTGAGTAAGGGGGGAGGATACGATAGAGGGCTATAAAATCATGGCTGGGGGTGGGGGGAGTGGATAAGGAAGTGTTCATGGGTTAGCAGGTTTAAAGCAAAAGGAAGTATTCACACAAGGCACAGTCAACTTGTGGAACTCTCTGCCAGAGGAGGTCGTGAAGGTCAGGCCTTTAACAGTGAGGATGAGCCCAGCTGGGCAGGGATGGTGGCCCTAGCCTGTTTGCCCACAGCTGGGAATGGGTGACACGAGGAATCGCGTGGTGATTCCATTCTGTTCATTCCCTTCGGGGCACCTGGCGTTGGCCACTGTGGCGGACAGCGGATGGGCCTTTGGTCTGACCCAGCCTGGCCGTTCTGATGTTGTTCTGACAGTCTCAGACAGATGCTGTTTCGCTGCTGGCGGCCGAAGAAGAGACCTGCTTGCGTGCTGTTCCGCATGTGCTGCGGAGGCTTGAGGAGGCTCTGATGAGAAGATTGGAGACTGTGTAGCGGGGAGGATGAGTGTGGAGTATTGTGCCTCCATGAAATGTCTCAGGAAGGCGCTTTGTCCTTGGGTTTGAACTGTCCAACTTCCTTTACTGGCCTGGCGTGGCACTTTACCAACTCCCCCGCCCCCAGCGGCCAGTAACTCAGTGCTGACTGAGCAGACAGGCTAAGATGGGGGCCTGACTCCCGAGGTCATAAGGGACATTCCCAGACTACATCACAGGTATTGACTCTCCCCACCGGCCTCCTCCAGTTCTCCTCCTGAAGGCAGGCCCAGCCACGACGTGCCAAAATGGCAGGCGCGCGCTTCTGTGTGGCTGTATTTCAGGCCCGACGCTGGGGGAGAGAGGATCCCTTTCCTGGGAATACGGTAGAGACCATTTGTGAGCGTGCGCTCTGCAAAGCTGGGCCGCGTTGGGAGGAGGAGCAAAGGACTTGTCAGTGCGTCGTCATTGGCCATAGAAAGGCTTCCCCCGGCGCAAATGAGAGCCGGCGAGGATGGGTTCTGAAATTGGACGCCCTGCTGTTGGTAAGCTGCCAAAGGCAGGCAGGCCAGAGATCCACTAGACCACGTGGAGTGGCCGATTTGAGAAACAAAACGGAGCCAGACGTGCTCACGTCCCCTGTGCTCGACATCCTGGAGGAGGGATGGGCAGACAGAGGAACCAAAGGAGAAATCCCTTTTACATTCTCTCGGTTGACCCCCGACCCTCCTGCCGATGCTTGTTCCAAGTATTCGTTCCCTGGCTAACATTCAGATCGCTTCTGGGACTGACCACGTCACTGCTCCGGCTTTGTCTGATTTGTGGCTCCCACCTCTTCGAAAGAAAAATGAAGACCCGGGTGTCCAAAGCTGCTGGCCTTTGAGAAGTGATGGGCGACAGTAATGCCTGGTGCAGAAGATGGTGTTACGGGGGGTTTAAGGTCAGGCTTGTAAATTACCACCGCCTCGCCCCCGGTGAGTTCTCAGGCCGCGTCGCGAGAACATCCAGCTCCTCTGACAGCTCTTTCCTCCAACTCTAAATCTCCCAAACGTGGCGATGAGCTGAGAGTTGAGATTTACAGGCTGAGCCCTCGCGGGGAGCGAAGGCAGCGCGGGGCGTACCGTGGCTGCCAGCCTACAGCACCATTCCGCCTGTACTTGAAATGCTTCTCCCGGCAGAGGAGCTGCAGGGCCGACCGGCCAGGCGCTGAACCCAAAGCTGGGCTGTGCCTTCTGAAGCGGGAGCAGGAAGCTGCCGTTCTCCAGACGCCGCTCGTGGCAGTTGTGCAGCTCTCACGAGAGAGAGAGAGAGGTTAAAGCTGCCCCTTGCTGGCTGAGTGAATCTGGAGAGGGGAGTGCTACAAACGCCACCCGTGCTCTACAGGGCGAGAGAAGCATCGAGCCTTTAGAAACCAATTTTATTAGCAGCTTAGCTGATAACGTGGCCGTTCTCGGCGCCTGACAGTGACATGCTGCTGGCAGTTGTGCAGCTCTCACGAGAGAGAGAGAGAGGTTAAAGCTGCCCCTTGCTGGCTGAGTGAATCTGGAGAGGGGAGTGCTACAAACGCCACCCGTGCTCTACAGGGCGAGAGAAGCATCGAGCCTTTAGAAACCAATTTTATTAGCAGCTTAGCTGATAACGTGGCCGTTCTCGGCGCCTGACAGTGACATGCTGCATCCGAGTGGTGTCCTTGGAAAGAGATCTTTATCCTCGCGGGCTCCCGCTGGGGATATAGCCAGCTAGAAATACTGCTCCGCCATTGTAGGGGGCGGGGGGCACACAGATCCGGTATTGACAGCATAAGCTGGGTTGAGAGCACGGTTATTGGGAAGCGAGTCAAGCCCTTGTGTTGGAGGGAGACGAGGACAGTTCTGGTTTTATGGGCAGCCATCAATAACCCTTCCCAAGCTCAATATCCCTAAGTGAAGCTGATCCGCTTTTCCCTGCCAGGGCCCGTTCACACTGCACAAGAGGCTTTTGCGCTCAAAGCCCAATTCAAATGGGATTAAGGCACATGCCGACGTGAGCCAGAGTTAGTGATCCGATGCTTGACCCTGCCACAGCCCTGCAAAACGGGGAGAGGAAGGTAGTCTCGCGGTTACTGCACCGAGCTTGGACTCGGGACGCCAGGGTTTGTTTCCCAGCTCTGCAACAGGCTCCCTGCTCAACCCTGGGCAAGTCACTTAATTGGGTGCCTCAGTTCCTCCATCTGTTGAATTGTACGTTGTGTGGGGTAGGCATTCGTGCTGTTTGCTCAATTAGCTCAGCAGAACCTGATCATGGCAGGTTGGCCCGTAAAGCACTTAACAGAGGTACTCAGAGATCTTTCTGGCCTAGGTTGACGCGCTCCTAAGGAGTTGCACTTCTTGTGTGGCTTCCTAAATACCTTCTACTAAGTATTTGGGGAGGGGGGGTGCAGCCCTGTGGGGGACTGGGCACTCTTAGCTTCCCTGTGTGAGAGTCTGGGGTGCTTAGCACTTCACGGGATCTGAATTTGCTGTTTTCCCGTGTCTGAGATGTCACGGGATGAACAAACTTGGTAACCCTCAAGCTCCCCTTTTACCTTCAACAGCAAGGAGAATTGAGGATGTAAATCTCTGACTCCGCTGTCTGCCTCTTTCTGGGGCCCGGTGTAAGCCCAGGACATTTCAGGCACTGTCTGCCAATCTGCCTGTTCCTAGAGAGGCCCCGCGAGAGGGAGCCAGAGGCCCGGGTGGAACGGCTGCCTGCCGTTAATGACGGCGCGCCGGCCCACGCAGCCCAGCCTCTCCCAGGGTTTCCCGCCAGCGCTCGCCTCGTGTTGCTGCATTTCACTGATCCGCCCCTTTCGGTCCCTCCAGGCTCTGGGTTCATTATGTGCAGCGGCAAGGAGAACCCAGACAGCGACGCCGATCTCGACGTGGACGGGGACGACACACTGGAATACGGGAAACCACAGTATCCTTTTTGGGCGGTTCTTGCTCGGTTGAACTGTAGCCGCACGTTGGGGGCGCCTGCCCTGCTGAGACGGCCTTGCTCTCTGTGTGACGCAGGGGGGGAGGGGTAGCTCAGTGGTTGGAGCATTGGCCTGCTAACCCCAGGGTTGTGAGTTCAATCCTTGCGGAGGCCATTTAGGGATTTGGGGCAAAAATTGTCAGGGATGGTGCTTGGTGCTGCTGTGAGGGCAGGGGCCTGGACTCAATGACCTTTCAAGGTCCCTTCCAGTTCTAGGAGGTAGGCAATCTCCATTCATTTAATTTAAAAAACACAAGCAGCTCCCTGGTCCTCTGTTTTCAAACACCGCTTCGATCCCGCTGGGGCCATGCGGTCCAGCCACGGTTTGGCCGGCTGAGCGTGGCTAGCAATAGCAGCTGCTGCTCCAGAACGGGCTGGACACCATGGCCTTGGCATCTCCTCTGGCCATTGGTTCCCTGCCCAGGCCTTGCTGGTGGAGCCCCAGGAAACTGTCATATGTTTGAGCCTTTGGGCTTGTCCGAAGTTCCCTCTGGCCCGTCCCTGCACAGGCCTCCTTGCTCTGCCTCACCGAAAGCAACGCCATCTCCTTCCTTCATCCTCGGAGATTGTCCCATAATGCACTTTGCTCCTGGAGCAGCAGAAGCCTCTCCCCTGAGGCCTTGCTCCCT